TTGCAACGATCCTCCTGCCTCAGCCTCCCGAGAGCTGGCATTACAGGCGTGCACCACCATGCCTGGCCATTGGAACAGCTCTTATAAATCAAAGATAATGAGCATTTTGGTAAACATTTTCTTCAAAATTTAACAGAACTCTTATTTTACAAATAAAATCATATATCTAATCTCAATCTATTTTCAACTAAAATTTTAACAACACATAACTTTCAATGGCTACATAAGATGCCAGACACCTTAAGTAACTTAGCAACCATAAATCATGAAATTTATTCCTAAATATAGTGAACAACTTAAAAAAAATTGAACTGGGCTTATGATGAAGTTCTATCATAAAGTAAGAATTTATTTTGGGGCTGGGGATTTAGCTCAGCGGCACAGCTCCTGCCTGGCAAGTGCAAGGTCATGAGTTCAATTCCCAGTACTGGAAAAAAACCAAACAAACAAACAAACAAAAAAAGAATTTATTTTAAAGATAATAAAAAAGAATAAAAAAATTAGAAACAATACAGAATTCAAAAAACAAGATGGTAGGAATTCAACAATGGTGGTTATATTGCATATTATTGTCTTCAAAGTAGTTGTTCAGATTACCAGATATAAGTGTGTAAAGTTGGTCAAAAAAAAAGTTCAGCATTAACTGTTCCTTTCAACTACTACTAATTTCTATTGGTTTATTGAAAGGAACAGTTAAAGTAGGAATTTAGGGGGAGCAGATACACCACTCAAGTGGGCAGAGACTCTTGAGTCCAGAACTACTACAGCAGTTCTAAGCCCAGAACTACTGAATTAGGCAATCGAACTTTTAAATGGGCACCCAAGAATGGGAGTGCGTTGGAATGAATCTTCCAAAAAGAAGTCCTTCTTATGAGCAGTGCCTTTATTTTCAACCCAATGATCCCTTACATCTGCTTCCCTCAGTGACCATAACCTGTTCAACAACTTTTAATTTAAAATTGCTGAGATTCTTCACGTGAATGACTAGCGCTTGCCTGGCTTTTCGCGTTGCCAAACTCCTTAGCCAGCAGCCTCTCATCATTTTACTGATAAATGTCACTAATGAGAAAATGGAATTTTGAAGTTTCCGTTATTAGGTTACAACAGAGTTGTACAGTGTAGAAGCACTTCTCGAAAATGAGATAAAACAGTGAAGCTTAATAAAATAACAACAAAGCTATGGAAGATACAAGTTCAGTAGCAATTTACTAATTTTCTATGTTCTTTTCTTACTAAACTCCAGATGATCAAACTAAATATTTTGTTAATAAAACCCAAATTTAAACATTTAAACATTCCCAAGTCAGGAAAAATTGCAATGAAAATAATTTATTTCACTTTGGAAACTAAACTTGTATAATGCCACGTAATGCATACTTCTGTATATCTTTACATATTTAAATTGGTGTAGTACTTTGCATTTATTTCTTTCTCAGCATTTTAACTGTTTTAACTGTCTGTGGTAGATATGTAGGATCCAAATCAGGGAACCAAGAATGATCATTAATTTTATTTTTTATGTCGTTGTTCAATTATACTTCTAGCATGGTACTAGAAACAAAGGTCTCAAATAATGATGACAAACTAAAGTGATTTCTGAGAGAATTCGTCACCTCCTGAGTTCTTTCCCTTTCTCCTTTTCCCCTTTTCAGAGCCGAATTCGTAGGATGTGGAATGACACAGTAAGAAAACAGTCAGAGTCATCCTTTATTACCGGAGATATAAACAGTTCAGCATCACTCAACAGAGGTAATTAGAAATGAGTTTTCCTACTGACTACTTTTCTGATTATTTGTAGAAATTCTTCAGTGTCTCGCTTTATTTGCCAGTTTTAAACCTTGTTCTATGTGATAGGATTATTGCAAGGATATAAAACTTGGCTTAGTGAGTAGTGAGTTTCATTATTCGTGTGTCTTTTTCTCTAATCTTGAATTTTCAGGAAATATTTTCTGAAAGGAAGTTAGGGAAGGAAAAACTGTCAGGTGAGCTGTCAGGCCTCACAGGAAGCAGTAAAAATGGGCAATTACGTGGTTAAGTAGTCAGCTAAGCATCATAGAGTTCCACATTGTCCCAGGTAGAACACAACCTTGCAGCCTTTGTGGAAGTAAAAATGTCTGCACTAATTCATATGTAAGGCAAGCAGAGCACTTGGGGGCAAATCACATCTAACCTCAATATCTAAAATATTGATCCAGATAATATTGGATACTAAAAGATCCAGGAAGAAAAAACACTCAAGTAGTGTGTGTGTGTGTGTGTGTGTGCGTGTGTGTGTGTGCATGTGCACATGCTTCTGGACATTACTTACAGTGCTCCCTGGATATTAAATTTTTGAAGTTAATTCCCTTAATCTTCCATTTTGCTACTGTTTGTTTTGTGGGAAGAGCAGGGGAGAAAAGGGGAGGGAGGCAGGGAGGAATTGTACATCAGTAAAAACGTAAACTTTATTAGATGCAGCCTGTGGGGAGTCAGTGTTGGGAAATAAAAGTAAAGGCATGCAGAATGTAGTTTATCTGGGAAGCTGGCATTTGTTTGAACTTCATTATTTTTAAGAGCAACATTATTTTTTCTTCACAACTATTGGTCTCTTTTTGAGCTTTTCTTGTCGTCTTTTTGTTGTATCCAATGCTATTTAGGCCAAAAAAATGTAATTATGCCTGACAATTAAGAAAGATTCAGATGCTGGTGCTCTTAAGCAGTTTTACTTGAGTTCATTGTATTTTATTTACATGTAAGAAGTAAGGATAAGTAGTGTTCAAACTGAATTTTATACAGGCAGCCACACTTTGCTATTATTTCACTGAGTTTTATATGTCATTTAATGCAATGATGCAGTAACTATAACCTGGTGATGACGTTAAATTACCTATCTTTCTAGATGTGGTGGTGCACACTTGTAATCCTAGGTACTTGGGAGGCTGAGGCAGGGTTATCACAGATTGGGGGTCAGTTTAAGCGATTTAGCAATGTCTTGTCCCACAATAAAATGAGAAAGGGGTTGGGGATATAGTTGAAGACTCCATGCATTTAGTCCCCAGCAAAGTAAAAATAAATAAATAGATAAATAAATTCCCTACTTCATTTTAGGTTTAAGAACAGTAAAGAATGGGGATATTCTGGCAAACAGGAGGCAAATGCATTAAAATAAAATGATTATTTTCTGTCATTAATAGTTTCTTTTCATTGGATATATTATTTTTTAGGTGAAGTATCTCAAGTATTCTTTTACAATTTAGTTTTAATATTTAGTTCGTAAAGATTTTATAAATGTCAGCAATCTAACTTTTTCACTTTATTTCTCAAATCCTAGAGAGCTAATTGCTTAGAAATACCTCAATACCCTTGGAACTAATTTACTTCCACAGTAATTTTCATTGTTCCTTTTTCTTTATCGGAAGTATGTTGAATCTCATGATCACCGCAGCCACTGACTATGGGTTTAAACAAAGGATGAGAAAATATGACTGTAACAATGCACTGTTTATTTACCTATTATGAGGGTGGATACAATATGTAAAATTATTTCATCTAGTATTGTTATCAACTTTTATACAAAGACAGTAGGGTATGTGGATGATTGGGACAATTTGAAACAAATTTAGAGAAGATAGTAGTGTATCATACTGACAAATCCTATGTTTAAATCTGTCTATTAAGATCTCTAGTCTTAAAAGATGTTTCTTAAAGCTATTAAATAAAGGGTGTGTTTTTTTTTTCTTTTATTTTTGGTACTGGGACTCGAACTCAGGACCTAGCGTTTGCCAAGCAGGTGCTTGTGCCACTGAGCTATATCACCAGCCCAAGGGTGTGATATTTCTGGTGACACTGAATAAGTGTTTTCAATGACATTGGGAAATCTTTAAATTGGATGCATAATTTAAAATGAATCCAGACAATGGTTTTTGTTATCAGGATAAGTCCTCTTCCTTTCACTTAGAGCCTTTAATGGTGTCCGAAATCACAGTGATCTTCCACATTTCCTGTATGAATTTCCCTAGCTCCACCCAAGGTCAGAAACTCCTTGTTTTATTCTCATCTTATTATTTTTTATCTTAGATGGTTGGAGTACATTAAATTTTTATTTCTTCTTATTATATCTCTGAAGATAGTCTTTAACCTCCTTCTTTAATCTTGTCTTATTTCCCAGGGTCCTATCTTCCCTGCATTCAGGCGTGTGTATCATACTTAGGTAGGTGACATCCAAGATTATCTTTCCAGATAAACACTTCAGTCACTTCAGCAACATAATTAGTTCCACTCATTCGAAAGATTATATTCTCCGTTATTAAAATGGAAATCTTAGGCACTACATCTTTGCATCTTCATATACCCTAACTCCCCATTCATTCTTACAGTTAGCATTTTTTAATTCAAACTCCATTTCCTTCCTAAGTTAGATATATTAAATCTCTTATTTTGCCTATAAAACAGCACTGCGCCTTAAAAACTATGAGCTATGGTAGTAAAAATTCGTTCTTTTTAATTTAGGTTTTCTTTCTTATTAATACCATCACTCAACACATCAAGAGTATTATTTTATATTTTGTATGTCTTGTCATTTGTTCTTCCAAACAAGAATCAGTCATTATTATCTTCAGGATGCATTTAGAATAAAGAATCTACCATACGATGCAGAAGTCCTCCTCATTTTTTTTAATCATCTCTGATGTTCTGTTCTTAAACCAATTTGTTTGCATCATATATATCAGATTACCTTTCTAGATTTCTCATTACAATAAACTTGATTGTTATTGGGATTTTATTCCTGAAATCATATGAAACACTGGAAGATTTGTCGATAATTTTCAGTAAGTGTATTAATTCTTATATTTCTCTTTGAGGGTTGGTTGTTTGATGACTTCATCTCTTAAAGCCTTGCATTAAATCTGTAGTGTGTATACCTGTACTTAAGATGTTGCCCGAATGTGCCCGTCACCCTTACAAATAATGTTTACCCAGCCAACCCTTTTGGTATAATGTCACACACTCAGGAAATCCAGAATTCCTCGAAGCCAGCACTACGTACTAGCAATTCCACAGGGCAATACTGTTAGTATACCCAGAAGAAGAGCAGAGGTGACAAGGGATGGAAGATGGTAGTTGAATACAGAGTTGAAACAAATGTTACCTCCAAGCCAAGTTTTTACAAGCCTGTAAATCTGCAGGTTGATTTCTTCATTAGTGTATTTAAATATTTGCTATATTGAATATGCTTTGAATGTTCCCCCAACTACTGGCCAAATCTGACCTTGAACAAGTTCAATTAGCAGTGCTTCTTAAAGTGCTTGACTTTGATCCAGTAATGAAGCAATTTTTTGAGAAATTTCTCTGGAAGTTCACTTAATTGTTAAACACGTCCAACATTTTTAAATCTGTATAGAAATTAGAATACCTTCTGAAATTGGATTTTATAAGATTTTATCTAATCACGAATATCATAGCTGCATTTCTCATTTTCTTTTTATTTAATTAGTTACATCAAGTTTAGAAATTTTTGTTTACAATCAAATGTTTCTAAGCAGCTCCTATCAACCTGGTATCCTTGATAAATTGCAAAAAGGTGCCTAAACCCCTACACCATCCAAAATATGACCTCTCTGAATGGCAGCATTAATTAAAAAGAACAATTTCTCTACAACAATGGCTTGGCTGGCACCGTGAGATTTCCTTTCCCACTGACCTCTCAGCATCTATTTTGTCAACCTGCCACACCAGGAAGTGTGATCCAAATTTGGATGTATGAAGACCCTACAAGGAGGGCTATATTTATTTAAGCTGATTTCGATGTTATAAGTCAGAAGACTGATGCGTGGGTGTACAGTACTTATTTATTAATACTGATGGAATCACTTTCCAGGATTCAGATTTGTATTAATCTGCACATTGCATCAATGCACATGTATTCACAGTCCATTTTATGGTGTCAGGGAAATCATGAAGGATTATGATGATGTTAAGGGTAAATTTTGGCTGTCAGCTAGTGGCACGGCTACCTACTGAAAAGCGGCCTTACCTTTCAGAATCCCGGTTATTACAAAAGGGATGATTTTACCATCCAATAGGCATTTTCAAATAGCCAGTGACTCATTGCAGTGTTGCATAGGAGTTTAAAGAATGGGTGCTGAATTTTAATCCAGTGATTCTTGGTAAACTAGTGAGCTTCTCCAGGCCTGTACAATAGGGCTACAAATGGCACTCACCTAAGAAGGCACTGGAGGGGCTGGGGGTTTAGCTCAGTGGCACAGTGGCTGCCTGGCAAGGGCAAGGTCATGAGTTCAATTCCCGGTACCAGAAAAATAAAAAACGAAAAAAAAAAAAAAAAAAAGAAGACACTTGATAAGGATAAATAAGACATGAATTGCTTACAAAAGTGCAAGAACATAATAACAACTACTATAATTTCATTCAGAGGTTCACTTACATTTTCTATGAAAACTACTCATTGTCAGTGATTCCAAATAGTACATTTTAAAAAATTAATCAATACTACCAAATATTTCCATTCCTTTTTGCTTCCCAGAAATAGGTCAGAGGAGCAAGGTGGCTACCTGAATGCCAAGTAAAATAATAATCTTCCTAATGTGATGATACCATAGAGGCAAAAATAATAAACTAATAACACTGAACTATTTCTTTTGAAGTAGAAAAAAATTTGAAGTACATTTGTTTATTCGTACTTTCTACTTTTGATTTGTAACTATAGTTTACCATCAAATAAATAAAGCCCATGTATTTCTTTTCCCCTTCCTTAGATAATAATATAAGCAGTTTTCTCTTTTCTTCCAAATCCTATCTATCCTACCGTTCAAAAACTTAGAGACACTAGCTGAATGAATTATATAGCTCTTCTAAATAACCAGTTATGTCCCCAAATTCAAAGACCCAATCCAAAAATGGGCATCTGTGATAAATACATGCTTCTCAGATGAAGAAATACAAATGACAAATACATTAAAAAATGTTCAACATCATTGGTCATTTGAGTGATGCCAATTTTCTTTTAAATTTATTTTAAAAATAAAAGAAAGAAAACATATTAACAGACATCTATTTACAAAATAGCATAAGTACAATACAAGCAATACAGGTTTACAGACAAAGTTGTAGGAAGTTAACAGTGGCTGTTGTATTATGTATTGGTATCTTCAAAGTGGTTTCTCAGGAAAACAAACAGAGACATGCAAGACTGATCAAACAAGTTATCATTAACTGTTCCTTTCAGTAGAGCAATAGAAGTCAGTAGTACAACTATGTTAGCTATTATATATATACATACTTACATAATTTCCCCTTCTTTCCTTTCCCACACCCCAGTTGCTCTTTACTTTTGAGCATTTTCCTTTTGTTTCACAATGTCTGTCATACCTCCTAATATTCAGACTTCTAAACGTTATATTTTTAAAGAGAAAAGCAAATAATGCCAGTGATGTTTGACTAAAATTAATGATTTATATAAATTAAAACTACTAGGTTAAACCTCACACTTATTCACTGCATTTACTTATTGCCAATAAATGTAATTTGGCTCATATATATTAAGCATGCCATTGTGCCTGGAAATTTTGTTGTTCTGTAGGATTATAAAATCATTGGCTGTAAATACTAACCAACTCCTACCATAATCAGATATCTTACTGTGAAATTTGCAAAAGCTATTAATAATGTGTCTATCTACAGTACTTACATAATTTAAGAAGTCAGAATAGCCTGTTCATCAAAGTGCATTTGATTATAAACAAACATGCTGATTAGAGTGCAAATAGGATGGATCCCATGGTATGAGTGAAGTTTTTTGGTTTTGAGATTCACCATTATATTCGCATCTTGTACTTTTTATCCTTAGTGTTCCCTGTGTAACTTTCTTTCCTTTGTACACATCATCAATAAGGACTTAGGAAAAGTAAAATAAGAGAAGGAAATGTGTGTGGAAAATCAGTTTAATAATAACATGCAACACAGGTGCAGACTTTTAAAAATGAAATGCTAAGCTGGATAGAGAAATGATGTAATTAGTAATCTAGTTCCTATCCCAAGAAGGGCAGATAATGTTCAGAATGAACTCTCTGTGGAAGTGATATTGGGTGGTGATTTCCAGTCAATCAGGGCAAAGGTTCTTGCTATAAAATGATGACAGGAACTGAAAACAGAAAAACTTTACATGCGTACTCAGCAGGTTCTGCTTGTACTTCTCAGCTTTGTGTCTTTGATACGGGTTCTTCAGATAATCTCTTCTCTCAAAGCCAACTACATAGTGACAAACCTGTTTTAAAATTTTTTTTCCTTTGGCACAGTATTTACTTAAAGCTTTCACAGATCCTTTTACAAAGAATTCTTGATATAGAAACCTCATTTTTACGGTTTATTAACCTATTGCCTTAAATATATTCTATTGTACAGCAAACAAGCTGCAGTGAGGTATTTTGATGAATTCTAAATATCAGTGTGTGTCACATTTAAATTTAGCTTTGAAATATTCCTATTTTATAATATAAAAAGAATATGAATTTTTTAAAGATGTTTCCATAGGCTAAATGTGAAATACAGTATTTTAGCAATTACTGATGCTTTCTAAAGAGGTGCCTCCTATGAAACTGGAAATTTTTCCTTTGGTATTTGTAGCTGTCATTCACATATTGCATGTGCTTCATTAATCACGATCCATCATCCTCAGCTTCATGAAGAAACTGGCTTTGTAGTTAAAGGCAATAACTTATTGAAGAACATATGGCTAGTAAAGGTGAAATCTGGATTCCAAAGGTCTGACTACAAATTTATATGCATGGTAACAAAGCTTTTCATTTTTTATAAGATGACAGTTTTTTTACAAAGTTACTAATAATTACAATAAAATACTTTGCAAAGGCCTTTATTTTATCATTTAATATAGAAAATAGATATAATTAGTGTTGCTGTTATTCACATCTTTATTTCGTGATTTTTCACATACTATTCATTTGTTTCCACATTAATTTGTTCTAAATATAGTTATTTAAAGTGGGTACTTCTTATGTTTTAGAAGTATGCTGGATATATGAGAAAACAGCCATAATACCTTTACAAAATTATTTGATGTGGAACATGTAGAATCGCTATACATTAGCACTCAATTGTAGAACCTAGATGACAGAAAATACTATATAATCATTTTCTTTTCTTTCCTCAAAGTTTTCAGAATAGTTTATTGGTAAA